ATATATATATATATGTTGAAACTTGTCTTAATACCATCTTTGATTGTTCGACTAACCTAGCCAAAACTCTGACTCACATATTCCTGCTTGAACTCACACCACAAGTCTTCTTATTACACTTCCTAAAATTAATATGATTTTATCTTATTATATGAAATATAAATCATTTGAGTAAAAATAAATATCTAATAATAACCCTAATCTTTCTTCGTTATCACCAATCTTTTCTCAATCCAAATCTAAAATGTTTATTGCTTGAACCATGATTTAATTAAACCATACTATCAATAGTTAATATTTAATAATATAAATTTTAAATTAGAGAAAATCGTCTTAGATGATTTGCTCACATTAAACGTCGACATTTGATGATCCAATCAGAAGAATGGATGTTTTAGATTCAACTTTTGTTAAGAAAGACGGAGCTAGACCTAAGAAGACTTGGGCATATTGTATAAAACATGATCTTAATTTATTGTAATTAAATGAAAATATCACTCTAAATAGGAGGCAATGGAGAGAAAATATTCATGTAGCGGATCCCACTTAAAGAGATAAAGCTGTTGTTGTCGTCTTAATATAAATATTAAATTCATAAATTAATATTCTTAAAACGCTTACCTTATAATTATCCAGTTTGGTTCGGTTAACGCACATAGAGCCGCTCCCTTCCTCTTCTCCGGTGCTTCAATGCCTTCAGCTTCGACAACACGCAGTCTGATGCCACCGCACTCATCTCTGCCCTAAATTATCCTCCTCGTCTTCGTCTTTGCTTTTCATCATGCATGGGAACGCTTGTTTCTGCTCTAGACCACAAAATGTTTGCCTGAGAAAGTCTTCCGTCCTTTTCTTCCTCCTTCACGCTTCAACTTGCTCATGTGGCCATCTAGACATATTGAATGTAAGGATTGCTCAATTCAATCTTTCATTCGACTATCTTTCATTCGACTATGATCTTCCTCCACTATCCTCGGCTAGGGCACCAGATTTCCTTGCATGCAGATTCGTTCGACAAGCATCTTATTCCTTCTATCACTGCTTCTTCTCCTGCTGTTGTCTCTTCTTCTTCTTCTCCTTCTTCTTTGCCTCCCATCTCATTCTCTCCATTTGATCACTTTGAATGAGACACCTCTTTAAAATGAAACTATTGAGGCATTTCATTCTCACCCGAAACGACTGCATTGACGAAATTTTGAATAATAATCAATTATTTATTTCTTTAATTATTAGTTATTACAGTTCCGCTCCTCAACTCACTTTTAATTTGAACTCTAGATCTCATTCATTGAGATGAAAAGTAAATACAATAAAAATTAAGGTTTGATATCACATAACTCAACTAATATTTCCCATCAACTTAAAACAGGATAACAAAACTGGTGGGGTTTTATTTTGTATATATTATAGATCTCAAAATATTTTTATCTAAATGATCGATGTGTCATTTGAAAAATAATATACTACCCGAATAATATAATTACTAGAATTCTCTTTCTAAATCATACACCAAGTGACTGCACCCAAACCATCACCCAAATTCCTAATGAGGTCAACCTAAATGAAATCAAGCTTACTGCGAGAGAGAAGCAGAAAATGGATATTCAAATTTGATATTTCTAATAATATATAAATTCTGGATCTTCTTTAAACTTATTAATTTGGTTTCTCTGACATTCTTTGATTGCTTATATATGCAATTGGGCTTCTTTTACTTGACTAGATCTCTTTATGTTGTCATATTCACTGCTTTTCTGTGCGAATTGTCTATATTCTGGGGATTCAACCAGATGCTCTGCATCGTGGATGGAATTCCTGAATTCTCACTGGATTTTTGCGTAGTTTTGGAGGAGCAATGATGGCGTACAACTCCTACAATAGGTTCAACTGGCTAACCGATGGACCTGGCCTATCTTCTACCCTCTTTGAACAAAGGCTTCATCCTATTCTTTACTGCTACACCTCTCTGATGGTTCTTGCATTTTGCTGCTTGTTTGATTACCTGATCAAATTTTACCTATGTGATCTCGACGCTTGCGGATGAAGATGATCTCATTTCCTGATCTTCCTGTTAGCCCTAAATGGTACCATGTCATTGAAAACATTGTATTTTCTTTAAATTCTTGTTCTTTTCAGTTTTTTCTAGTCTTTTCCTTTTTATTTTTGTGTGATCTTACCTTATTTTTGTTGGTTCTATAGTCTATAGATCTTTATTCTTGTGACATCTGTAGCTCCTCCTTTTATAATCATTTTTTTATATTCAAATAAATTATTGGGTAAGACCCTCAATACCCCCAAGAAAAAAATGTTGATCAATTTTATTTTTATTAGATGTTATGTAAAACAATTATAGCCACCAGCAGCAACAATCACATAAGATGGGTCTTCGCCCAGCTGATATTTATTTTTAGAAAAAAAAAAAAGAGTAAAAATTGTCATAAATTGATCTCACTGCTTTTAAGTTTTAATGCAGTAAAAAAAGCATCACTAAAAAATCCCAAATATACTTTCATTTGAAATCAAAACATGAGAGAATTTAAAGGCAGAAACAGTAAAAAAATCCAACTGACTTCATCACGAGTTAGATTCTTAACTTTTTTTTTTCAATAACTTTTGCATACCCTTTATGCATTTTAATTATATGTTACCATCGTACTATTCGATTGCCTCTTATCTTCCCCTGGCACTTGCCTTTTTGCTAGCTGGAAGGAAAAAAAGAAGCAGGAGACGGCAGTAATAAAGCATATATATCGTCACAAAGTGTTACTGCACTGCTGAATTTTCTAACCTTCATAAAGGCACCCATTATAAGGCAATAATAAAGACATTACAGTTATAAAAGTAATGGTGAAATGTGCTTATGCCGCTGCATTCGATTATGCAAAATAAAATATATGCTCATATCAAAATTTACTTTACAGGCACCCAAAAAAAGGAAAACCAACTGAATATCACGCCGTGGGTAAATAGTCTTTACAAACTCAGAACTATGATTAAAAAGTAGTGAATAAAGAAAAAATATAAAAGAACACTTCTAGTCACCTAAAAGGAAAGCGATTCATAGCTAGAAGGGAGAAACTGCCAAAAGCAAAGGATCTGCCTATGATCACAAAATAAAGTTATGTAAATTATCAAATCATTGGGACCAGGTGAAACTTAATCTTTCTTCGACGAGACTAAAATGTGTCTGCCCATCCTTCTATATCTCTGTATATACATTCTTCTTCGACAAATTGGTTCAAGGGTAGCAAGCATCCATGATTTCTGATCAAATTCTTCTCCAAACAGTGGCGCGCTACCTCTTGAAATGATTTATTCCTATCAAAAATTGTTAACCCAATTAATCTGTGAAGGACGTTGAGGCTGCTGATAGACACCTGTGGGAATGGCAATTTCAGAAGCTCCGCTAATGGCCTGAGACTGCTGTAACAAAGGATGTACGGATCCGGCAGAAAGAGATTGGGTTGGGTGGTAAAGACCAGTGAATGATGCTGCTGCAGCTGCATGTCCAGCTTGGGTGGGAGCAAAAGCAACAGGCTGACCATGGGAAGGGATGTTGTAGAAAGAACTGGGCTGAAGCGTGGAAATGTCTCTGCCAGGAGGGGAAATCCAGACAGCTGAACCTTCACTCTGCATGTTAAAGCCTCATTGAGAATTGTACAAGAAATAATTTCTTAATTGAACAGAACAAAGTCTTAGAGAAATAGTCGTTTAAAAGACCAATGCATTTTGTTGTAGTCACTCATTTAACAAATATTAAAAGGTTAGCTGAACAAATTCTCATTTTAGAACAGATGGATGTAACTATGTGGCATAAACCTGGACGAACCTAGCATGGATTGCACTCCTATTTGTTTCACTACCAAATCTAACATTCTACTTCTATCGGTTTCGCTGCAGTATGAACTTTCCATTAACAATCAAAGTTCAATTATTTTTCCTGCACAGAATACGTAGAAATTGTATTTTTATGGTATTTATTATACATGAAATAGTTGACCAAGTCTAAATGAAGACTACGATTTTCCAAAAGAATTCAGGTGGAATTTAAATAAAGCTAGAGTGGGAGCAGACAAATCGATTATAAAAAACACATGTTTATAATCATGGACAAACAAAATCAAAAGACAAAGGATGATTACAAGTAATTATATGTTAGACTTGTGATTGGAAAGGAGCAAGGATAATAGTAAAAAAGAGTTGGATAATCAAATTAATGAGAATAGAGCAATAAGGAGAATTATTCATAAATGTAGTTAATAGTTTTCTGTTTTAAGTTGGATTCGAAGTTAAAAAAAAATGATGGGAAGATATACATTGGACAAATAAATTTATAGCAAAAGAATGACCAGAGATTGTGATTTAATTGGATATATCTTACGACATAAGCAATATACTTCTGATTATATATATATATATATATATATATATATAGAGAGAGAGAGAGAGAGAGAGAGAGAGAATCAGAATCACTCTCAAAAGTGGAGCTCGACTTATAATAAAAAGAGGCAAATTCAATTTGAAAAATATCCATGATGCTTCAAAAGCTCCACCATAAATATGAAGCACAAGTTTGGGATGAATATAAAATAAATAAATATTATTGGACATGAAAGGTGACTAATTTGCTAATATTTCAGCTTAAGTTTGAAAAGGTGCAAATTGAAACTTCACAACTGAATCAAACTAAATGTGGAATCAAATGACAAACTGCAACACACAGATTGTCACAGAACAGAGGTTAAAACATAGTTTAGAAACTTTTTTTTTTTTAAATGCGTTCTTGGAGTTGTGAGGGAGAAAAGATTATTCATGAAAATAAAAATAATCTTAAGAATGGCAAAATAAATTTAAATAAAAAAAAGCATTCTTAGAGTAGTGAGGAAGGATAAAAGTTAATTCATGAAAATAAAAATAATTTTAAGAATGGCAAAATTAAACTACCTAAAACACAAACAAAAAAAATCTAAGAAAGCTACAGTAAATCTTTTAAATAAAGAAAATGCTACAACTCGAGCAGTACAGTAGAGTAGATATGATTAGAAAATAATTTATTAACATATACCATAAAATAACTAAAGCTCATTAACAGTAAAACAACACCTAAAGATTAAATCATGAAAACCTGACGTAAAATGTTGAGACAATATTCAAATGGTGGGCTATAAAAGAAATTTCTGTTGAATAGCAGAATGAATATGATTAAAAGATATAATTTAAAATATACCAAAAACTTCCAGAGAAAATGCAAAAAGTTCAAATTTCAAGTCCATATGAGATATCAACTGTGATTTGAAAAGTTAGGAGTGATATTGTAAAATTATTATTACATCACTTAAATGTAACTGGAAATACAAAGAGGATGCCAAATGATATAAGTATTAAATTCCAGCTTTAAGAACCAAAATGCTTTCAGCATTGTGATAATTATAGATTAATAAAGCTTGTAAGTCATCCAATGAAATTTTATAGAAGCAATAGTACAAACAAAAATCATCCAGATATAAGGAATCAAAAAGATATAGTTCCAAGGTATATGATTAGCAATTTTTATGCTAAGTCTTGAAATGCATAAAGGGCGACAAAAAAGCCATAAAAATTTTATTATAAATAAGTTCCAAAAAAAGTCAAAAAGAAGAACGAGTACCATATGACTTGATTCAATGAAACTAAAAAGAAAAAATAACTCAAGCAATTAAGGGAGCTTTTGGGGCAATTCTTTTGCTATGGTGCAGCACAAAAACGCACTTCAGAGTGTTTGTTTTCCACGGTGTGGGTGTATTTATTTAAACACACCCTTCATTATCAGACGCCAGCCCGCAACCGCATTCCGCATTTTCATTCCTTCGATATTACTGCCCTGCCCTGCCTCGCAACTCGTATCTATTTGTTCTAACGGTTCGCTGCCTGGGACTTGATTCAATGAAACTTCATCCTCTGATACATGTGCAAGCAACTCCTAGTGTTTTCTTCCATTACTTTCCTTCGTCATCTAGTACCTCTATCCTTTAACTTTAAAGGCTTTTCTCTTTGGTTAGTGGTGTCTCAATGGCTTCGTTCTTAACAGTTTGTGGTTTGTGTATACACTAAATTCCTTTCGATTCGTTTTTCTATGAAGTTGTTTGGTTAAGTTGCTATATTGGAAGTATAAAGTTTGTTTATTTTGTGATTGCCTTCATTTTTCCACAGTTGTTCGGAGAAATTTTTTTTACGGCTTAGTAGTTTGTTTTCTCTATGTTGGTGGAGTTGCTCATTGTGGTTTGCTCTCTATCTCGATTGGGTTGTTCGTTATTGTTTGCTCTCTGTCTCAATTGGGTTGCTCTTTGTAATTTGAGTTGCTCTCTGTTTCGGTTGGGTTGTTCTGTATATGCTCATTGATGGTGAGTAATAACATCAAGCACATAAATTAGGCCCAACCGAGATGTTTATGATGAATAGAGGAACCTAATTTGAATCTAGTTTGGTGGCGTTGCTCTTTGTGGTTTGCGGCCTAAATCTATAAACTTGTGGGGTTGCACTTTGTGATTTGTGGCCTCTATCTATGAACTTGCTTTGAAATGAATTCTAGGGTTATACTTAGTGGTTTGTGGTTCCTTCAAGTAGTTCCTTCATACTGCAAAAAGTTCTATTGGAACATCTAAACCCTTGTAGATTTAGCCATGTCTTCGCATGTTCATTTCCTACTAATCAACTTGCAAGTAATCTTCGAAAGAATGGTGGGTTGAGAGATTGGAGGTAAAAATTTATTAAACATTCAGTGCTTTCCATTTTATTCATGTCAATCCAATTACATCAATACATCATCCATCAATTAATTTGTAGAACTTGTCAACTGCCAAGAAGTTCAAGGTTAGTGGCATTGGCCTTGAGCTGTTGAACCTAATGTTTGGTGGAGTCATAACCACAGGTGATCACGTATGGGCACCAAGCAAGAGAATGCACACTAGCAAAGCTAAACATGTAGATGTTGAACAAACTTCTACTTAAAAGAAGGGTATAAATATTCTAGAGCTGAGAAAACTAAAAAAAAAAATTTGTGCAATTTTCATAAGGTAGATTTTCACAATTAGTTGTTTCATGCACCAATGAACCTAATAAATCACATGCAGCTTCTATTTAATAAATTATGAATTTACTGGAAGTAATTCCAGAAATTTATGAAGACATGTCGTTTTACTTTTTTTCAATAAATTTGAAAGAAGATCCGACTAGGAAAGAGTTTTATTAAATCAATGACACATGATCGTAGGGTTAATTATTTACATCTTTTATGAGAATCAGAATGTACGGCTCTTATGTTATTTTTGAAATTTTTATATTTGATTGATATGGGTGTAACACATTATTTTTCATGTACGAGTTCTACCATCTTTCAATATTTATGGACTTTTCATTGTCATGCTTTTTGTTTAATGTATTAATGGCTAATTCATAAGTGTTATTTATATGAGTTAGTTAAATCAACAATGAATAACATTTATAGAGAAAAGCATAAAAAAAAAAATCATAACCATATTATGCTTAATATATGAGTATTGCAACTCATATATTGCTTACACTCCTTACATGAGATTCACATACATTGGCGATAAATGGATTGGGCGACAAATGGATTGGGGAAGTCCTTATGGGTCATCGAACAAGATTTAACATGCTTCGTACGACACATGTCATATTTACTAATGTATTGAAAGAACTTCACAAAAATCATAGACTTCATCGCTCCTTTATAAAAAAATCATAAACTTCATCTCTCCTTTATAATGACTTCAAGAGAGGGGATAGCTATACCCTTTATATTTTATCACAAAATTAGTCTATCAGAGGAGTCATGGAGCGATTCCAACACTCATCATAAATAATTACTATATATTTTTCAGTTGGCTTGAATGTTCTAATCAACTAATTTTAAAAAATTATTAGGCCTGAAAACCCCACATTCCAAAACACCGATAGAAAGCTTTCACAAGGTCAATGCTGCATACCATATATTAAGGTAGATTTTCGTGTTCATCTTTTCTAAAATTTACTTAAGTACAATAACTTTAATATCTTACATAAATGACTTGGGACTGTGTTGAAGCAATTGATGAAATACATGTGGATGCACACATGTCCAACAATAAAAAGATTACAAATTGGATGTATGATATTAGTTTGGATGCACACGTTCATCAACACAAAAAATTATGGTTATATGTGCTTTCAATATGTGTTTTACTTTTATAGTGTCTAGATAGAAAGACAGCGCACACGACAGTCTCGTATTCAAACTTACTATGCGAACTCATAAATCCAACTTTCCAATGTCACCTACAGGTTTGCTAGAATATGAATAAATGAATTAATTATTTCAGCACAATACTAACTGTTATACTTATTATAAAAAAAATATTATTTGATTGATGTTGAATATCTGTTGCAAAGAAGGTATCTCAAATGCTTTCTTGATATAAAATATCACATACCTAATTTTGAAAGGGCCAACGTATAGCTCGGGTAGAAGAAAATGTTTAACAAAAGACACTGATTTATACGTGTTATTGAGACGACATTTGTGGTATGAAAAGAAAAATGAGTTATTCTCCGAGATATATATATTTTTCAACAAACAAATGAAGATTGTGGTTGCTACAATGATTCTCCACAATTACATTTATATTCTCGTCATATTTCACGTAGTGATATTGATTTCAATGGTGCGGATGAAGATTGATCATCGTCCTTACTGAAGCATATGAATATTGCCTAGGGCAGTCAATAACACAAGTAGAATGTGATTTACCTGAATTGCACACAGGATAAGGTACTGAGAAGATGAAGAAGTTGAGAGCAAATTATAAATGCAATAGTTAATGCGTGAAATGATGTTGTGTTGCTTTTCTTTATTTATGAATAATGTGTTGAGAAAATGCTTAATAATTATTGTAATGATGTTTTATGCAATGATGTTAATGTGGAATCTCAATTTGTTGCAAATCATTTTTCCATTCTTTCTGCGTGTACTTTTTCCCACATGGATGGCCTCCTAGCCAACCATGGGTTTAATTTTTTTTTCTTGCATGATTTTTTTTTCTTTTGGGTTTTGAAGTCTATGATAGCATATATGACCTTAAGAGCTATGGATTTTGACATGTGTGAAATCTCTATGAAGGCAATCAAGATCCCTTTCTTTTTCAATCATAAGACTATTGGAGTTCTTCTGGATGGCCTTGTGGTGATATGTTTTTGTAACACATACAAGCTCGACATTGCATTATTTAAAGGCAATCAAGATCACTTTTATTTAAAATATTTTATCTTCTTATAGTGACATTATTTATCGGTTTATACTTTGCTCTGAGACCTCAGAGCTTTACAAAAATTTAATTATGTATTTTATTATTCTTATTAGTTAATGTTTCGTCAAACTGTCTGTGATTTGTGGCTTGAAACCTTCAAAAATATGAGCTCGAACACTTTTAGTCTCTCTAGTCTCGTACTACAATTATGGATTGCAGTGTTCTCTATATACTTCACAAAAGGAGGATAGCTATGGGAGTAAATTTTATAGGTGTCTAAGGAATAGATCAACAGAGAACTCTGACTTCTTCAGGTGAGCGGATCAGTTAGACGATTCCGCCCCAGATAGTGAACAAACATGGAGAATTTTGTTGGAGAAGAAATTATCTAATAAAATTGATCGCCTGCATTTCTAACTCAATATTATGATAATATTAATTGTTGATTTAATAATTTTATTTTTTATTTTGAATATTGTGTACTCACTATTAAATGAGATGTCAGCTTGGTATAATATTTGAGCTTATGAGTTTTTTGGGATTTCAAATGTAATTTTTCTTTTCATACTATTAAGTAGAATGTCAGTTCTAAGTGTTAAGAGTTTTTTTAGGATATCAAATGTAATTTTTGTTTTCATACTATTAAGTGAGATGTGAGTTCTAGTTGTGTAATATTTGAGTTTATGAGTTATTGGAGATTTCAAATGTACTTTTTGTTTTCATGTATGAGTAATCAACCTGAACGGATTCTGTTATGAAAAGCACAACAGAACAGGGACAAAAAATCTTTTTATTATAAACAACTGTTGTACAACTGTGCAAAATAAACGAGCAGACAGCACCCCCACAGCAATTGTTGCGCAGCAGCTTCCTAGGACAGTTGCTACACAACGACTTTTTAAAAAGCTGCACAAAACATACCATATTTTTTTTAATGATAAAGAACTACAAGCATTATTAGCTGTGGGAGTGACTTGGTATTTGTCATAAACAATTTACCATATGATAATTGTATGGTACTGGTCTAACAAGTAAGATCAGTACTGACGGTCAAAGTCTGAACTTTAGGCAAATGTTTTACAACATTACTGGCTTAGGATCAAAAGAGCAAAAAAAATAAAAAAAAAAAGAACATGAACGCATGAAATGTATGTTTAATGAATTGTAAAAGAGACATTTATTAATCAATAGCGATAGAAGATCTAGAAATACCAAGATCTGATTTGTTTGATTGTCTTCGGTTTATCATATAAGATAACAACATAAGCATGTAAAAAAAAATCTCAAAATTGAAGCTGGAGATTAAATGGAAAACTTACTTTGGAGCACTATATAATGAATAATAAATCATTGATTCTTAAAGATAAAACTTATACAGTCTCTAGTAGAACATCTATGATATATGCATTTAAATTCAAAGCAAGTATCATGTCAACACTATATTTTGAAGGAACTGGGATTTAAATCTAAGTGTTTATATATTTTCTAGGTATTACTCTTTTTTATTTTTGGAAATTTAAAAATTTGTATTGCATTTTTTCAACGTAGAAAATATGGACTTTGTCACAAAACCAGATCAATAATGCTTAGGTAATAGTTTCTAAAATTTCTCCTTTTTCGCAATTTTATTGGATTTTCCAATAATTTTATTTTCAAGATTTTTTATTGTTTATTATTATTATTATTATTATTATTATTATTATTAGTATTAGTATTATCATTATTATTATTACTATTATTACTATTATTATTACTATTACTATTATTTTTTTTATTTTTATTATTATTAGTAGTAGTAGTATTATTATTATTTAGAAAATTCTGGTAGTATTTTTAAATTATTATTATTATTATTACTATTATTTGCTTTTTTTTTTGCATTTTTTCCCACAAATTCCAATGTAGTCCTATAGTTTCTTGAGGTCTAGGGCCTCTTTACAAAAGTCCTGGAAAAATCTTTAAATTGTGACAACCGCACTGCAATAAGTATCGCAAACATGGCAACCAAGATATAGACTTAAGAGAAAAATGAAAATGGACTAACCCTATGTTCAAACAAAGCGACAAATATAGATATTCTAACCAAGACTTTAACATTAATGAATTTTGATAATCTAATCAACAAAAAAGTTGGCATGATCAACATATACGATCCAACTTGGGAAGAACCATTTAAATAACCAAAAATTTTAGCGAACAAATTTCCCTCGACGACAATCAAAGAGACAATAGGCAGCATAATTCCATTTGCAGTGATCCAGCAACCTGTGAAAAACTTTCTATTTTGTTGAATGGTTAATTATAGATTCTAGAATCAACGACTGATGAATCAGAAAATCTCCTATTTTTACACTCGTATTTTCTCATTCAAAATTTCAAGAATAACCAAAAACAAAAAAAAAACATGTGTAGGTAGAGATTTTCCTCTGCATTTAAGAAAAACTAGCAAGACAGGCAAATATATACAAGTAAAGGTACCTGCTGCCCAGGAATGTACACATAGTTTTCTTTGAACTGAGATGAAGATAGATCATCACTGCTAGTTGAATTCCCGCTGCTAACAGACGAATTGTAACCTGCCAAAGTCATTCCATATGCCCCTTGCCCAGCAGGAACAGAGTTGGTTGCAGCCTTGTACTGGGAAATGGGATATTTAACAGGCGTGGTGCCAGCTGTAGCAGTCGGAAGTGGATATAGGTTTCCAGTTGAAGGCTGCTGGGTAAATATAGGAGCATTTCCTAAATAATGGTGAATGGCAGCAGCAGGAGGTATGTAAAATGGAGAAAAATACTGATTATATAGATTGTAGTTAGGTGGGTAATGAGATATATGTACACCAGCAGGCTGCCTAAAGACAGGAACTGGTTGTTGGCTAACAGCAACAGAATTTTGCAGTACTCCAGTTGTTTGAGCAACAATCGGAGTTGGTCCAGTTGAAGATAAAATCATCGAATTACCTATCTGCAAAGAAAAGTATGTAAATATTAACTCCAAAACAACAAAATGAAAAGAATAAACCAACAAAGTCTAACCCAGTAAATCAGAAAAGTGAGATGGGTGACTAATAGCAAGCATTCCACCTTTGTTTAAAATTAAAAATAAAATTAAAAAAACATTCCATAAGAACTGAAGACCCAAAAATGCAACCAAGCACCACAAATTTGACAACCACAGTCTCGATAACCTAAATTGTAAAGAACAAAAAAATCAAGTTACCGAAATTACTTGACAATCACCCACATATAAAAATGCTAGGTAGTGATAACATTAAAAGATACCAAAAATCATTCTGGACAAATCAAATATAACAAACAAAAAAATAATCTCATAAACGAGATACTGAATCAAATAGAACTCAAAACAAGGATAGATCAGGTGAACCACATCACAATTGAACTCTCAAGGAAGTTGTGATATATAAGAAACTAGTGTAAAAGATAAGTAGACCTCTTGAGTAGATTGGCTAGCCTGGGGAGGTAAAATTGCGATATTTCCATTGAATTTAGGAGCACCACCTGATAAAAGAAAGGGAGAGAAACGACCATCACCATCAGCCGCAGGGCGATAGAAAGAAGTATAATAGTTTGTAGAAGGATCAAATGGTTGTGGGACCTGCTTAAAAACGCATTAACATAAACAAAAAAAAAATTAAAACTAGAACATAAAAAACTAACAGAAAATATAATTGACTCAGGAAACATTATAAAAGAATTGAAAATTATAAAATCAAACCAAATGTAATTGAATTTGAAATGCACAATATCACACTAATGATTTAATGATGAACTCTGAAAGAGCATAAGCTAAACTATAAAGATAAGAGAAATACATAAAATTTAACTCATATATAAAACAATTTTTTCAATCCAACCAAAAATCATTGTTCTTCACAAAACGTCACCGTTTTTAAAAACAAATAAAAAAATGACTTTCCAATTACACAAAAAAAAAACATTTTCTGTTGATACCATGCTCCTTACTAATACTCTATTATCATTTTCTAAATAAATTTTGCTTCCCATAAGAATCCAACAAAAAACTTTGCTTTCAAGAAACATAAAGAAATATGTACTTAAAATCATAGACATAATATTATAATAAAAAAGTACATTTGATAGCCTCAGCTTTTTAAAGCAACTAAGATTATCCTATTCCCTTTATAGTTTCTCTGAAGGACAATCTAATGAGACAAAATATAAAATTTTGTCATACATCCCTAATAGGAGCCCAACATGTCATCTACAATATAAAGATTGCCTTACCTTTTTTTATGTTTCGTGGATTGTTTTTTTCTTTTTTAATATGTAAGAGATACATACAAATCTTTGTAGTTTGTATGAAAGACAATCTAATGAGAAAATAAAAAACGTTGCCATACATCCCTAATAGAAGCCCAACATTTCATCTACAACATAAAGATTGCCTTACCTTTCTTTATGTTTTGTGGATCATTTTTTTCTTTTTTAATATTTAAAGATACATACATATCTGCTTTTATATGAGTAAAAACATATTAGTTTATATAAAAGCTATGGCTTAAGTTGTTGGAATAACGTAAGTGATTCAAAGAAGGCAAGGTACTCTAATAAAATAAATCAATTTAAGTGAACCTCATATGCTTAATATAGAACACGTATTAAAAACATAGTTCTGCTAAGAATATCTTAGAAAGATCAATAACATGATATTTCTTGTTAAAGAAATTAGTTTAGAGACAATAAATAAATTTAGGTAGCAATAAATTTAACTTTTTAAATATTTATCTACCGAATTTTACCTATCATAATTGGTTAATAAAATATATAAATTATTCATACATGATAAATATTTTTAGCCAAAAATGAGGTATCTTATTAAAATTCATATTGATTGTTAATTGATGGGTGCCCTGGACATGAATTCACCATAAAAGCAGTATCACTAGCACTACTAATCCTTTCAAGGAGTGATCGTCTTATAATGGTTAGCATGGCTTCCCAAACAAATCATGCTATATTTAACCATTTAATTACAATACTGATACAATTAAACTATAAAATATTCATATAATAAATGTATAAAATAACAGAATATAATGAAATTCTAGTGTTATTTATTAATTTAATATTAAAATTTTAACTTTCGTTATACAGTACGATGCATGAGCTTTAAGTAAATTTAATAAGTTATTCCAATTTTCCAATGTCATAATAGAGACTAAAAAGAAACCGAGAAACTGAACAAATTCATATTAGGCTAGGTAATGTAGGTGCATCCAAATTAAAACAAATAAGAAGGCTTCAGTTTTCAAGTTTTTAACTACAACAATGTCCCAAACTCATAAAAAAGTAAACTTCCACACAAACAACTAACTACTAAAATAAAAAAAAAACACAGTCGATCTCTACAACAACAACAAACCTTTATCCCACTAAGTGGGGTCAGCTACATAAATCCTTCTTCTCCATTGCATCCTATTGAGTGTCATATATTCATTTAAATGTAATAAACTAAGATCATTTCATATAGAACATGTCCAAGTCTTTCTAGGTTTACGTTTGTCTTTCTTAAAATAAGTTGAATCTAAAACCTCTACTCTCCTAACAGGATCATCAGAAGGTCGATGTTTAATGTGACCAAACCATCGAAGAAGACTCTAATTTTATCTGCCACTGGAGTTACATCAGCCCTATCACGAATATATTCATTTCGCATTTGTGTCTAAGTGTCAAGCCACTCATCCAACAAAGCATTCTCATCTCGGCAAAACTTAACTTTATCTTATGCTTCTCTTTTAAAGACCAACATTCTGCGCAATAAACATTTCAGGTCTCACCATGATCTTACAAAATTTTCCTTTCAGTCTAAGTTGTACTTTTTATCACACAATAGGCCCAAAGCATTCCTCCACTTCAACCAACTTGAATTCTACTACCAACATCCCCATCTATATCACCATCACTTTGATCACCATCACTTTGATCACTTTGAACAATAGAACCGAGATACCTAAAGTGTTCACACCTTTGAATGATTTAATCACCATAGTTACAACGCTGTCACTAGAGCTACTACTACTAAATCATATTCTATGCATTCAATTTCAGTTCTACTCAAACGAAGGCCTTTAGACTCCAATGTAGACCTTCTTAACTCAAGTTTTTCTTGAACACTTTCTCTAGTCTTATCGATAAGAAGGATATCATCAGCGAAAAGAATACACCAAGATACATGTAAATGTCTAGTAAAAGCATCCATAAATAAAGCAAAAAAATGTGGTCTTACAGTTGATCGTTGATGTAATCCAATTGAAATAGGAAAATATTTAGTCAATCCTCCTATTCAAGCACAAGTATATATCTTTAATTACTTGAATATATATGGGATCAAAAAATTTATTCTCTAGAACTCTCCAAAGGATTTATCTTGGAACCTTGTCGTAAGCTTTTTCTAAATCAATAAAAATCATATGTAGATCCCTCCTTAATTTCTCTGTACTTTTGCATCAAACCTCTCAATAAATGTATAGCTTCCATAGTAGACCTGCCCGGCATAAATCCAAACTAATTATGAGAAATCATTGTAACACGTCTTAACCTATGCTCAATCACCCTCTCCCATAATTTTAAAGTATGACACATCAACTTAAATCATCTATAATTTGCACGCTCGTATGCATCCCCTTTATTCTTAAAAATGGGGACCAAAATACTCTTCCTCTACTCCTCAGGCATCTTTTTAGTTCTAAAATAAAATTAACAAGTTTAGTAAGCCAAGAAACTCAAAATTTCTTAAATATTTATACACTTTAATTGAGATATCATCAGGTCCTACTGATTTTCCACAACTGATATTCTTTAAAGCCACTTTAACTTCTTTTTTACCAATGCGATAATAAAAATAAAATATTTTACTATTACTAACGATATTAAGATCACTAAAATCAACCGCATTTTTAGAAATTTCATTGAAAAGTTTATGAAAATAGCTCACTCACCTATGTTGAGTATCTTTTTTTAAAAAAAAACACATTTTAATTTTTATCTTTAATACATTTAACTTGAGTTAAATCTTTACTTTTCTTCCCTTTTGTTTAGCTAGTTTATAAATATATTTTTCATCATATTTAGTATCTAATCTATTATAAATAACACTAAAAGTAAATTTTTAGCGTCACAAATTATTCACTTAGACTCTCTATAGGTCACCTTATATTTTTCCCAATTCTCTAAACTTTTACATTAAAACCAATTTTTCAAAACACAACTTATATCTTATCTTTTCTTGCATATTATTATTACACCACCAACTATTTTTATTTATAGAAGCTTTTATTTTTTATTCTCCAAGTACATTATTTCACTTGTTTAATAGTGGTTGCTACTTTATCCCATATAGAATTTGCTTCTCATGAACATCCTAAATCTTAAAATATTGAAGTTTACTCATAAAAATAATTTTATTTATCTTTTAGGTGTCCGATCTAATTCTCTGACAATGATTTACAATATTCTTTATCTCACAACTCTTCATTTTAAAATACATAACTAATAATACATTCTAAAAATTCATGCTGATCTTTCTTGCGAGTAACGAACAAACTAACCAAGGTCCATGTAACAGAATTCTTGGATCATATTCTTAAATATAAAGGTCAAGGCTTTCAAAACTAGCCTCATAGTATGGTCATGCTAGGCAGAATGCAGAAAGAACAAAAATAAAAAAATAAAGGTAGTTATCCAACATATCATGCATACAAAAACTTCAAAAACAATCAAGACTACAAGTTTGTATAACCAAATATAAAATAAGTGGCCAGAGTAATTACACTACCAATAACTGAAGCCTTGCAAAACTTGAGTAATAATAGTCTAAGTTTCATATAAAACAAAATGAATCTAACCAAAAAGAAAAAATTTTCATTCGAGATGAATCAACAAATGTAGAGAGATATCAATAGAATCTGTTAAACAATAGAATGTAGACCCTACTAAATTGTAATTTTTCATGACAAAATACAAACAGTAAAAAAATTATGAATATTACGGCAAACTATCAAGATTAAGAATGTAAAAGCAATCAGAAGCTACAAAATAAAGAGAAAAATAAAAACAAGTGGAAGAAAAATAGTTTCCAAGGTATTCCACAACTGGTTGTACCTGACTTGAAGTACCTTCTATATGTTATGTAATCCATACAGGCATAAACTATTAATGGCAAAACATAAAATAAAAATCAAAAACAGATATGAAAGCCAGAGTTTCAAGACTGACAATAAAGCCAGGGAGGCGAGCAGTATCCCGTGCATGAATTTCTGTGGCCTCAAATGCGGGAAAAGGACTGCCAATCTTTTGTGCAACCAACCCAAAGTTTGAGTACACTGGCGCAGTATGAATAATAGAGTGTTGAGATGCTTCCTTGGCCAAAGACACCTCTGGAGTTGATTGATCATAATCTGCAACAGGAGAAATACTTGAAAGACTTTCGATAGCACTTGCTGAATGATTTTCAGGCATTTCTGGTTGCTGATCATCTGAATAAGTGTTTTCTTCAGTAAGAGGGGATTCATCTCTAGAACTGTGATCCAGCAAAATAATTTATGATAGTTAAACGCAACTTGCAAACAAGAGAATGTACTTTAAAAGATGCAATTCATTTTTATTGGAAGGAAATAGGGGAAGGGAGAGCTTATTTACAAGCATTCTCCTAGCATCAATGGCAGAGAAACATAGAAATAGCAACTAGTCAAAAAACATACATGTCGAAATGTGCTTTTAAGCATGATACCATCCATGACAGATATAATCACATTGCATTAAGCCAATTGGTGAATTTTAACAGGCTAAATGCTAATAGAGACAACCATGCCAACATGTATGCTACAACAACAATACAATAAGGAAGAATGTAATGAACACAAGCACTTGCCTAACACTTGACGGACATACTGTTTTTGCCAATTAATAGAGCAAAAAAAAAATTAATGAACACGACTTCGTCACACAGATCATAAATATTAAATTTTAACTTAAAAAACACATGCTTAAATAACTTAAATTAAATCAGCAATACCCTTTTAAATATATAACTCAAACAACTTAATAGCTACTTAATTTTAATTTTATTTTCCTATTTTGCTCTATTTTCCTATGATTTTTCATACTTTTTCTTTTAAATAGTTACAAAATAATTTTTTTTTTTCAACTTCATCCTAACAATTTATAATATCAATCATATGACTATTTTATCTCGAATTAAATTTAAGATATTAAGAAAATTAATATATTTTTATTTTATGATGAATTGGAATAAATTTATTATTATATGAATTCATTTAGTATTTTTAAAATTTGTGTAAATATTGTATATTGTTTTATTTTTAGGATATAATATTATAATAATGTGTACAATGCATTGTCGTGTCCTCCATTTTCAATAATAAATTTGTCCCAAGTTTATGCCCCCATGTCTGCATTGATACATCATAACTAATCATACAGTCTATCACAAGGTTCAAGATCAAACATTAATTTTGGTACACTTCACTGAGCTTGCACAGCAACCAATTTTCTCCATAAACTCAGCCATTGTTTGCATAGAAATTGCAACAATACAGTACAAGGGAAACACATAAATAGATTAAACAAATAAATTATTATACTTACTATCACCAAGAAAACAAAAAATACATGGCTTCAAGCAACTCTGCCATAAGAAAAAAAATATCAAGCACCCACATGAGTGTTTTCTGATCAACACCACCCACATGAGTGTTTTCTGATCAACACCCATATCACAAGCCGGTTGCAAGCTCTGCACAAACCTAACATTAACAAATGTTCAATTTTTTTTTTCTCTACCTCTTTCCTATGAATTTATTAGTAAATAGGATTTCACGCCGAAAGAATGTGAAACAATCATCTTAGCATCATTGGAAGCAACTAACAACAATTGAACTTACAATTAAAGCTCATGCATAATGATCTTTAATAAACTACGCACCCATGACTTGGGTAACTATCCGCAATTGACCACTTCGCACAAATGATTACCAACAAGAATAGAGACTGCAACTGAGTCTAGCTCTAGCCCACACACCCTAATGCAGCAGGGGTCACACATACGAGTACAAGCACAAAGTGCAGCACACATAAATAATAAGTCTTGCCCTGTGCCATTAATCTTGCACTAAATAATATAATCAAGCAAATCAAACCATATGAACTTCTATCTACGGGCTTTGTAGGTTAAGAGCTCATAACTTTTAAATGAAACCATTATTACAGATCCACTGATAAATGAAGTGTATACAAAATAAAAAATAACATAAATGCTTAACCCGATGGATACTCTTTAATCAAACAATGCAACTATCACCAAAGCTTCATTTAATTATATTAATTAATTTGTGGGTTATAAAAAGCTAAAAATTTTAATTTGGTATCATTCATTTTCAAAAAGCTTTTCAAAAATAACTCAAGAATTCTGTATTCCTACAATGCACAATTATTTTGGTTAATCCATGCAATTTAACCATTTATCTTAAAAACTATTTCATAATGTGAGAGCATCTGCTAAATGTGAGAAGCATCAATAGTTTTATGATATGAAATGATATGAGGCGTTTAAAACCTATAGATAGGTCTGCTATTACATAATATTATGATAATTGAAGCAAAGAAATCAATAGCAGACTCCAAGAGGGAGAAGAGTGGAGATGGGCATGGAGATAGGGGGGAGAGAAAGAAAGATAAACTGCATTAGAAAAGAACAATGTACATATATATATGCCACTATACACATGCCAGCATTATTTATTAGACTTATAATAGTTGGATGACAGAAGCATAAAACACACAAAAATTTGGAAAACACCTTACCAGGATGGAAATTGTTCAACATTTTCCTCAAGTTTTCCTGATAACTCAGATGGTTCTTCAAGGCATTCAATTTTTTCAGGTTCAATCTTTAATCCCATGTCCAATCCAAAGTTCAGACCAAAACTTCCAAAGCTCAAGCCTGTTCTTTCAGACTCTGGGACTTGTAAATGATCTGGAATGATAACATGTTGAGTGTCTGAAATACGCAGGTCCTCCAAATTAGGAACTTTTTTAGATATATCAGAAACCATCGACTCTGACACATTCAAAGAGCAAGAGATAGCTTCCCTTGCTTTCCCTTTGCTGGGATCAACACCAGAGCAGCAGCGAACTTCAGAGCTTGAAATGGAGTTTACATTTGTTGATTTAGGTTTCCACTCCATCACAGGACCAGCTGTTTAAAAATGTAACGACAGTTAAACAGAACGCTTAAGATTCACAAAATAAGAAAAAAAAAGACAATATTCTATGCAAGAAATACAAAGTCTGAGAAAGAGCACAGAATTTCTGTGAGTTACATCCTACCACGAAACAAGTAAATTTATGAGCACAGAAAAGGTACTCACTAGCAACAAAAAAAAATCAAAAACCAAACACTTAGAATTTTGAGGAATACTATTTGAACAGAAATAATATCTCCCTAAAATCCAAAGAAAGAAAAATATTCATGCTCAAGGGGACCTCAAAAATTTGTAAATCAATTTACTAAATATGACTAATTCAACCTGCACAAAAGTTGAACAGGTTTATCAGTTTATAGCTCAATTCCAGCCAGGGAGAGTTCATGTTTAGCTATAGGGCCAGATATGTTTTAAGGCTTAAAATGACTATGGCTTATCTCTGATGCAGCTTTAAGGATTAACATTCAGCAACCAAAAGAAAATTCAAAAGTAGATACTCACTAAAATCTCCTTAGATTACTACTTAGGGACCATTTGGCGGAGTGTCTTTAGCGAGACGCAGCCCAAAAACGGCATTTCATCCTTTTGGAAAATACGTTGTGGCGGCATTGTGACAAAATTTCTATAAAATACGGTCACGGGTTCAACTTCGCGGCCTGCGTTACTTGCCTGTCTATTCACCCCACGACTCCCATCCCTCTTCTCGCGTTTCTCTCTTGACCACACTCTCTCTCGCGATTTTTCTGCTGTTGCGAGTGGTTGTTCCGATGACCCTTACATTCTTCTCCCTCTCCTCTCTTTTCTTCCACTCGATTTTTGGTGGTTCTCTGCACTCTGTCCTCTGTGCGGGATCATTTTCTTCGGTTGGTGGTCATTGCAGTGGGGTTTGTATTCTCTCTTCCCCTCTCCTATCTCTTCTTCGACTCGGTTTAGTGGTTGTGTGCATTAATGGCTCAGTGCGGTATTCCCTTTTCCACCCCCTTCTCTGTTCTTCACCTCCTGCAATATCTCTCTTCTTTGTGTGGTTGTGCGCATTAAACTTATTGGTTTCCTTTTTTTTATATCTCCATTTGGTGTGTTTTAGTGGTTTTCGGTTTGATATACTTGGTTTGGTGGTTTTGATGCTTTAAGTTGCATCAATAATGGTTTTGGTTTATGCTTTTGACGCATTGTGAATTGTGATATCAGTTGGCATCCATAATTGTTATGGTTGTGCTATGCGGTGTGCTTTGGATTTTTGGTGCATTTGCTGTTAGCAATGCTTCGAATGACTTGTATTTGGTCTGTCCGGTTTGTGGATTTGATCTATTTGTTGTGAATGGTTAGTGTTTTGTAGTGACCTTTGGATTTTTTATGAATTTTGATATTTCAGTGGGAATTTGAAAACTGGATGAAGCATCAAAAAAATTGGATGGTTATTGTAGAGGGCTTTGTAGTGCCCCCTATTTGTTGTGAATGGTTATTGTTGGATCTGTTAATAGCATTATTTCAGGTGTTGTGTATGTGTTGAATTTGGGTTGGGATTTTAACATGAATTGGTGTCTGGTGGAGGTGTTTGGTGGCTGGTGGCTGGTGTCTGGTGGAGGTGCTGATGGTATGGTGGTGCTGGTGTGTGGAGCTTTTGGTGTGTAGAGGTTTTGGTGCGGGTGGATGTGTTGGTGTCTTGATGTGCTAGTGTATTTAATTTCTGGTGTGTGGAGGTGGTGGTGGTGGTGTGGTAGTGGCGGTGTGGTGGTGGTGGTGTTGGTGGTGGTGTGTGGAAGTGGTGCTGATGGTGTGGTGGATGTGTTGGTGTCGTGATGTGTTAGTGTGTTTGGTGTCTGGTGTGTGAAGGTTGTGTTGGTGGTATGGTGGTGGTGGTGGTGGTGGTTTGGTGGTGCTGGTGTGTGGACGTCTTTGTGTTTGTGGTGTGGTGAAGTCTTATGTGTCAGTGTGTTTGGCGTCTGGCGTGTGGAAGTGGTGCTAGCGTGTGGAGGACTTGCTGTGTAGAGGTGGTGCTTGTGGTGTGTGGAGGTGGTTTTGATGGTGTGGAGTTCTTGGAGTGTGGAGGTGGTGCTTGTGGCGTGGTGGATGTGTTGGTGTCTTAATGTGTTAGTGTGTTTCGTGACTGGTGTGGGGAAGTGGTGTTGGTGGTGTGGGGAAGTGGTGTTGGTGGTGTGGTGGTGACGGTTTGTGGAGGTCTTGTTGCGTGGAGGTGGTGCTGTGATGTTGTGGATATGTTGGTGTCTTGACGTACTAGTGTGCTTGGTGTCTAGTGTGTGGACGTGGTGTTGTTGGTGTGATAGTGTTGGTGTGTGGAGGTCTGGGAGTATAGAGATGGTGCTAGTGGGGTGATGGAGGTGCTGGTGTCTTGATTTGCCAGTGTGTTTGGTGTCCGGTATGTGTAGGTGCTGTTGGTGGTGTGGTGGTGCCGGTTTGTGGAGGTCATGGTGTGTGGAGGTGGTGTTGGTGGTGTAGTGGAGGTGCTAGTGTCATGATGGCCTGTGTGTGGAGGTGTTGATGTGAAGGTCGTGGTGATGATATTGTGGCATTCTGATTTTTCTTTGATTTGTGATATAGTGACATTCTTATTTATGTTAATTAATTTTTTTTCATGCTAATAATACAATGGTTAAGAACAAAGATGTTGGTTCACCTGCAATATGGGTAAAGAAATAAAAATAACATTTTATGACCTTTGCCTCAAGAAGGTCGATCTGAGAAATAAGCTCACAACATATTTCAATAAGAAACGGTGGCAAAATATTATCATAAAATTTAAGGAAAGTACAGGCAGAGATACGATAGAATGCAGTTTAACAACAAGTGGGATCAGCTCAAAAAGGATTGAAAAGTCTGGAAATAATTGAAGTGCTGATCAACGGGCTTGGGGTGGGATCCGGAGAATCAAACAATTGACGCTTCCGAGTGGTGGGCAGAAAGAGTTATGGTGAGCATTTTTTAAAATTCTCCTATTTTAGACAATTTTTAATTTGTTTTTAAATTTAACTACATGTTACATGAATTTGTAGGTGGTGTCTGGTGCAAAAAAAATTAAATATATTGGAATTGATCCCGAGTTGAAGCAGAAGTTGGATCGTATATTTGGGGTTGTCGTGACAACGGACAACAATGCATGCCTCTAGTGAAACGGGGTTTGTGGCATTCTCAAAAATTTGGGAGCCGACCAATCGGGTAATTCCACTGAAGATTCCAGCCCGGAACTCCATGAACTTGAGTCCACGAGTCGTTCTAAGCATCCGAGGGTTGAAAATTAAAAGAAAATGGGAGTTATTTTTTTTTGGAGTCAGATATCACATTTTGTGACTTCATGCAGCAATGACCGCAGCACATCTCAAGCAACTTCAGTCCAGCAGGTTCTACAAATTCTGAATGCAAATCCAAAAAATTTTGAGGACTTGTCACTATATTTGTTTTTTATGGAGTTGTTGGGATGTCGTTGATCGTAGGGTGGCGTACCGACGACATTTTTATGAGAGGAGAAACATTTGATAGAATTTTTTCTTTTATTATTTAGAATTACATGGGAATTTATATTTGTTTATTATTTTTCATTTTGCTTCGGACATGCCTTATATACTTATTCATTGATGTTTATATGTTTATTATTTTATTCGTAACCTGATATGATTGTAGCTAATTTAATGATGCTTATGTGTAGTTAATTCAATACCAAAATACAAGAATGCAACCAGAGAAAGACGTGAAAGAAGAGTTGCAGTTGTCGTATGTTTGATGTACAAATATTATAACTCGTGCATAGAGCATAGAGCGCTACTCTTGCATGAAATCCTCATATGTTGGCAACAAATGGGTTGAAAAGTTGTGTGGGTCACTCAACAAGATTTAGTAATATGTTCCCCATGATACGGATGATATTCACCGATTTGTTGGACGAACTGCATAGAAATCATTGACTTCATGACTAGCTAGAACGACTTCGCGAGATGTGTTGTCAATAACACTACATATTATCGCAGAACGAATCAATACAAGAAGCAATGGAGTGGTTTCAATACTCAACTGAAACAATTTGCAGACACTTCTCAGTACGGTTACATGCAATTATAATTTTTACTTCATAGGTCATAAAACCAACAAATCCTACGTTGGAACTGACCCCCACAGAGATTTTACTCGATGCGCGGTACATGTCATACTTTAAGATAATTTCTCCTATTTATTACATTCAATTTTTAAATAAATATCATAATTTTGTAACCATTCGTTATTAATCTAGAATTGTATTGGAGCAATCAATGGAATATACATTGATGCACGTGTTCCAAATAAAGAGAAGATCGCATTCATCAGTCGTTTGGATCCCTAACGCAGAATGTCATGGCAGTATGCGGCTTTAACATATGCTTCACTTTTATCATGGCCAATTGGAAGGGCAATGTACATGACAGCATAATTTTCAAAGCTGTAACACGAAATAACAACTATAACTTCTCACATCCACCCACAAATTTGCATGAGACTAAGCTACCATCCTAATTCATTTTTCCCTCAATACATATCATGCAATTCACACAGGTAAATATTATTTAGATGATATTGGATATCTATTACAACGATATTATCTTAAGCTCTATCCTAATATGAGATACCGCATAACTGACTTTGAGTGAGTCAGCATTGTCACGCGAGGCAAAAAAGAAATGCTCAATAAAAGATATTCCTCTTTCCGCAGTATCATCGAGAGGACTTTTGGCGTTTGAAAGAAGAAATGAGTAATACTTCCCAATATGTCATATTACCCGTTTCCCAAATTGTGATTGTCACAATGTCTCTCCACAATTACATTCGGCGACATTATTCCCGCAACGACATCAACTTACGTAGGGCGAACGAGGATCATGAGCATAACCCTGACGAGAATTAAAGTACGTATTGGCCAATCTTTATCACAGGTTGAAAATGATGCTCTCGAGACTGTACTAAAGACGGGAAATGTGCAAGTGATGTGACAGAATTGAGAGAACAAATTACGGATGCAATAATAGGAGGGTGATTTGAGTATTTATCATAATATTAATTGTAATGGTTGTTGAAAAAATTCACTGTTCATTGTAATTGCATTTTATATAATTCATGTCTATTTATGTTCCATCTTTATTTGATATTGATTGTTTGGGTCTTATACGCTGTAAGTATTTTTTTTCATTTTGCATGTATTTTGTTTTTCTTTTAGTGGATTTGGGAGGTCCATGATGAGACATTTGGATGACATGTTTGTCACTGTTGGCTGGTGTCAAATGTGAAATTCTAATGAAGGTAACAAACTTCCTCTTTTCTTTTCGACGATGCGGTATTTGAGGTTCTTCTCAAACTTTTTTAGTGATATGCATATGCGACACACACGAGTTTGGTATTCGTGGGTAGATTTGAGTGGTCCATGATGAGACATTTGGATGGCATGTTTGTCACTGTTGGTTGGTGTCAAATGTGAAATTCTAATGAAGATAACCAACTTCCTCTTCTCTTTTCGACGATATGGTATTTGAGGTTCTTCTCAAACTTTTTTAGTGATATGCATATACAACACACACGAGTTTGGTATTACGTGGGTTAAAAGTAAGCAATAACCAATTTTTTATAAGATTCATTGTCTTCTTGTAGTGACAGATTTGTTGGTTGATTTGCTAAGTTCTCTGAGACCTCACGGCTACATAAAACTATAAATAATTACAACTTTTAACAAGTTTTACTTATGTTATGTCTAATGAGATGTCTTTTATTCAGGAAAAATGAGTTCGAGAATTTCTGATACCTCCCGAGGATTGCGCTGTCACCAATGTTCCCTGCTAACTTCACATCAGTCATATAGCTACAGGAGACAGTTCTACAGGTGTCTGCGGTGAATCACGGAGAACTGTAACTTCTTTCAGTAGGCAGATAAACTGTAAGATTTCACCGCTGAGAGTGATTGAGCATGGAGAGTATCCCTGGAGGACGGCTTAAGCTCGCGACATACGCCGTCAGCATTTTAAAAATAATATTATCATATTATTAAATGTTATTTTAATAGTCTTTTTATTAATTTTAGAAATAATGATACTCATTGTTAAGTGAATATTTTATTTTTGTATCGTTCTAAAGTGAATTTTTGCTTCTAAAATATAAAATATATTGGTATAACAGTCTTGTTGCAAACAGAATTACTATACAAAAGCAGAATGATCATTTGTCTAGAAACAACTGCAGCACAATTGTTTTTAAACTGCAAAAACAAAAAGACAATCAATTTATCCGCAGCAGCTTTCTGTAGCAGCTGCTCCGCAGCAGCTTATTAATAAGTTGTCGCTGCCCCAAACGGACCCTTAATAAAATAAAGCACGTTTCAGATTGATTGGTACTCACTAGATAAAATTTTAGCATGAAGAATTAAAAAATTAATGATATATTTATTTGAGCTCACATTACTAATCCTAAAAGAACAATTTTTAGTAAAAATGGATAATTTCATATCTAATGTCACGACGAGAATGAGTTTTTATTATCACACTGATAACCAAATCTTTTAATTTATTAAAACATGACTAACCTCCCAACACGCCCACCCTTGCAAACCTTAGATTGGTAATTAGAATTTTGTTGCTTTGATAGGGCACCTGAACATCAAAATGCATTACAAGGGCAAAGAATGATGTTTACCTTATTATAAATGATTATAAACAATGGAACATGTGACACAAGAAGTGCATGCTCGTGATTTTAACCAGTTAAATATTAATCTTTTTAGCCACTCAATTGTAATATAAGTTTTCTCAAATTCATTTTCATAATCGCTTAATCTTTGCCATCCATCATTACTAGCATAATAACTTTCATAATGCAAAAAAAGAGAAGTGACCAGAAACAAAAACAAAAAAAAAACAAAAAAAAAATCAGCAGAAAAGCAACATCCAGCATTTCATATTATAACACTCGATAGAATATGGTAAGAAGCAAAATTTATACTCCCGGTAGTAATTAAATTTACAAGTAGAAGCAAGCTCAGCCCTGCAAGCAGGCTCAAGATCCTGATATCCTTATCATTTTTATTCTCTAATGTGGAGGAGAGTCTCTTGCCAACTCTATTTGCTTCCATGGTGAAGGAGAGCTACAAGGAAAGATGGCAATAGAGGGTCGTGACCAAAATGGAGAAAGAAAATCACAACAACGTTACCAATTTAGATTAGCTTTTCATTTCTTTTATTTAAAAATCTTATTTGCTGACTACAGAAATGAATAAATTAAAACAAAATACCTAAAATTTATTTAGCTTACATATACTAGCCAACTTATCAAATAGACAAACCAAGCTCTATCAAGAGCTCAAAAAGAATACTTGGCAACTCAAGCACAGATCACTGGCTCAATAACCTTGGAGCCAATTAATGAGCTAAGCTTGATCAAGCTCAACCAAGTTACAACCTTAGCAAACTGCAGGTGTGTCTGGCTGGATCGCTTAGAGAAAAAAGATATCCACCTGATAAATTGAGCATAATATTGATTTTTCACTTGTCACTGGGGTAAGCAAACAGTATAATGGCTATATAGCAGATAATGCTATTCAGAAAATAAACATAAATAGTTACAATGTGTATGAGCAGGGAATAATACCCTTCATAGGAGCACTTGCATGTTGTGAGCGGTTTCCGTAGTTACTAGATGGCCTACTGCTGGAGGAACCAACAACAGCATTTGAAGGTGCGGACTGGGATGAATCATGCAGCAGGGTTTTCTCAACATCCAGTGAGTTCCCATGAATTCGGCTATTTCCAAAAGAATGTTTTTTTTCCAAAGCATCTCTTTCATCAACGAATAACAACTCAGAACCACCAACATCCCTAGAAATAACTGAGTCAGTATTTGCTTTTTGTTTGACAGGACCCGCTGACACTGGAATGCTCAAACCAAACGATGGAGCTAGAACTGGTCCTGATTTTGGGGCATTAACTCCAGCAGAAGAGGCTGAGGTAAGAGATGATGACACCTGATTGGTGCTTTGAGCTGAGATCTTTTTCTGAAAAGAAATTCCACTCGTCTTAGATTCAACTGCTGTTTCTTTAACTGAAAGCCCACCACGGTATCCTGAATCATCAGCTGATAAACGGCCTGCGTTGCTCAACCCATTGGGCAAATTATACTTTGTTTTGCTTAGTCCATTAGGCAGATTACCCGCCGATCTGAATATGCCAAGCATGCCCAAATCCAGGTAACAATTAGATGTGCACACAGTATAGTCAAGCATATTATAGCTTTAATTAAAGAATATGATGATATAGATTTAATTTAAAAAAGGAACGGGATGGCATTGTTGTACAATTAGTAGGGAAAAAATTTTTAAGTAGTCAGCCAGAAGAAAGAATATGCTTGTCTTAATAATATTGGCAGGAGAAACAGGACATCTTTCAAAAGAATAAAGCTTTCTACCTACAAATCGTTTAAATATAATGGGAAGAACTTACAGAAATTCAGCGAACAAATAAAAAGCATGTCCTCACAATTTCACATGGTAGCACATGGGTGAATTAAAATAGCCACGATTAACTAATTCATCACAAAAGATGCAGTGTCATATATCAAAAGACCATTTAAAAACAAAAAGATATCTGTATTTATTTTAGAAAATTTCATAAGAACACTTGTTGATTTTGAAATGGAAAATCTTCAGTATAAACCTAGGAAGTAGAATATTACTGCAACATTAAGGGTTAACAAAAGCAAGGAAATAAGAATTAATTAACTTAAATGATGGTGAGAAACTATTGCTACTGCAACGCCCAAGAATGACAACAATAAAAAATTCTTAAACGAAAAGTTTATTAAAATGAACAATAAAAAAAAAATCAAATACATAACTAGTCTTTCTACAACAAATAAGATAAACCAGATACACATTAGCTTCACAATCAGTCAAAATTGTATTCCCACAAGTGGCATATAATTCACGTACACCTTGAACGATTAAGAAGTCAATAAATTAGAAAAATGCCTAATAATATCTATTAAATCTTTAAAATACGTTAAATATATTTTAAAAAACTAAAATCTATATCTTGTACATAGCCTATGCCAGTTAAGAGGCTCTTTCTTTTCTTGTGAAAGAAATAAGGTGATGTGTAGTAGAGCATGCTATCATGGACCAGATATCCCAGTTAGAAATAATAGTTCAACGGAAAAAAAAAATTATTCTTCCTTAGGTTAAAAAGAGAAATATAGTCGAAGCTCTGAACAGCCTTCTCCAAAACTTAAACTCTACATTTATTTAAAGTACTGTGCTTTTGCCAATTTTTAAAGTTGAACTAACGAAGAAATATTATTCTAGACATAAAAATAATAATAATTTAAATTAAAGAAACAGCAATATAGAACCATCAACTAACAGAAAAACAATTATACCTTGCCTTATATGTAGTTGACCTCGTCTCTGGAATTGCAGCCTTAAAAATTGTGTTCGGTGTACTGTGTGAAGACGTAATATATTTGTCCCTGACTTGGGCAATTCCATTCTCCTTTACTGCACTCGTGTTCCTTCCAGCACCAGAATCTGCTAAGGGTGATGAGAACATAGCATTTCATGCCTTCTATAGTAATAAAAGAAAAAGTCTCTCCATATCAAAAATAAAAAGAAATTCTTACATGTTCTAAATTAACAGGGTCTTTCCTAATATCATAAAATCTTCTCTCTATCACTTAACCCAAGGAACCCAGCAAACACATCAATAATCATCATTTAAGATAAAAAATGAAAATACACCATTTGTCAACCGCAAGAATGGTGCATGGGATAATTTTGACATTACAATTATAAACAAAAAAACACTATCTTTACAAGTTAACACATCATATATTAAGGAAACCAAATGATTAAAATTGATGGTTTAAAATAAAATTTCAACAAAATAGAGCAGGATACCATGAAATGCATAGTGTGAATTGTAGTTTCCTCGAACAGTTCTACCAATGCGCCCTTGTGATCCTGGCCTCCAGTTGTTATCAGTAGCCTCTCTAATGCTCTGTGGATATGCAACCATTAGCTCCTATGAGCATCAAAAATGACAACAAATATAGCATCTGGTACTTTGGCAATGTCACAAATGCAAAATCAGGTCTTAAAAATAAGTTCATTTAGAATTAAACTTTGTCAAGCTTACATATATGTATCTATAACAAATTAAAAAAAACTTAGAAAGTGCTCAAATTCATGTGATGTGGAATACAACATAAAAAATGTTACTATCATTGAGTATTTAAACCACAGAGACATACATGAATATGAGTAACTATACACAGAAAATAGCTAGTAATTAACTACGGAACTCAATATTAAACAAAATTTCAGTAATAAAAATTCTTAACAAAAAAAATGACTTTGATAGACTACCCATGCAGCTATAGAACTGAACAAAAGCTTGGTAATCGCTGGAACAGCGCTTGCATAATACTTGAGCAAAAAACTCATGCCACATTGGCAAACATCTCTTCAATAAATCTCAATTTAACAATTACATTACTAATCTACAGCCAAAATTGTGTATAATAAAAAGATAATCTCGTGATCAACACTTTTTTTTTTCAAAAACAATTTGCACATAGTAAAAGTTTGAGTGAGCATGGGATGAAATTTTGAGAGGTGTAGTAGTACGGCACATTTATTACCAAACAATTAGCCAAAGCATTTCCAAACATAACATTGCAAAATATCTGGCATAAGTTCAGTGTAACGATTCTGTAACAATTCTAACATCAAAAAAAATGGCAAGTAACAAAGGCAATATTGGAGAACCCAAACTCAAACTCCTCTTAGAATGAATGCTTTTCAAGTATGAGTGACAAAGAACAAAATCCACTAATTCATAACGACTAGTAAAAATAATAGGTGGATAGATAAAGGTTGAAGGTTAAAAATAACACTTAAAATGCGGATTAAAAAATAGAGCATATGAAACTGAACAAAATTAATTCATAGGTCAGAATGCATGTGAAGTTGTCTTAGGCTATATTCTAACAAGAGTTGTCGCCAGAGGTCATTGGTCATCCACTTGAAGAAAGCAATTTAAAACATGGTAATTAAGATTTCGGTCATGACCAATTCATGACTTGAACAAAAACCTCGGCAGTACAGAATAAACAACACATTGTAGCTGCTACAAGATTTTAAAAATATTACATAATTAATAGACAATGGGAATATAGAAATGATTTTAATGCACTTTAGAGTGAAGAATAAAATTGTTGTAGAAGCTCAAGCGTTAAAAGATAACTAAATTAAGAATATATTATATTTTTTAAATGAAAGACACCAACTTTCTTTCATTTCATATAGTAAATAGCCAAACCCTTCTTCCATTGTAATTTCTAATTTTTTCTAAGAATTTGAAGGGAAAAAAATCAGATTTTTTAAGATATGCTTCACTAATGGGTAAATTATAGGCATGTCCCTCGGATTGGTTGTACTGATATTATAATACCCATCCGAGGTCACAATTTGGCATACAAATTTAAGTCAATTTCATTAACTTTGTTGGGAGCAAACATCATTTACTTATTTTGGGTCACGTGAAATTGGAATTCTAGGAAGTAATCGAATAAAAAAATATTGTAAGGTCAAGAAAAGGAAGTTTGGGTCCATGAATGACTTTGAGCATATATGATGTACAGGTAGCCTACCATCACCAGTGAATTGTAGACTCACTCCATTAAACAATACTCGACACTATATAGTTATCAAAAACCAGCAACAGCCACTTTTCAAAATGTTTAAGGGGCATATTCATCCAGAAAAATGGCCAAAAGTATAAAAGAAGAATAAAAGATGGATAATTGAACTTAAATCTGCATTGTCTATGCCTAGAGAATGCACTAATTTCTTGGACATTATGAATATTCCTGCTAAAATAGGTAAGCCTGAGGGAAAGCATGTAATGTACCCTTTTTAATTAGTTAAGCTTCTTTAAGAAACACAAATCATTTGAATTTTCAAAATAATATTTGTAGTGTCAATAATTAAATCTAAGAGTTGTCTAGAGAATGTTCACTCATTTCTTGGACACTATGAATAATCCTGCTAAAATAGCTAAGCCTGAAGTAAAGCATGTAATGTACCCTTTTTAATTAGTTGATCTTCTTTAAGAAAAACAAATCACTTGAATTTTCAAAATAATATTCATAGTGACAATAATTAAATCTAAGAGTTGCACCATCGAAGGTTATGTATGGCAACCAAAAGCATTTACTCCAGTGATAAAAAGAGGATCCATTCACCATATTTAACTTGCAAAATCTATGTGAATAAACTAGTTTGGCCTTAATAATAGCCACTGTTGCTATCATTAACATCATTTGCATAATCCCAACTAACGTGAACTCAGCATCACGTAACCAGTGTATATTACTAAATAATACAATCTAATATATGAGTAAACTAAGATTTGTTCTTCATATCAAATTCCTGTGCTTTTCATTCTTAGTGAAAAAACTTAATTCACCGTTTGCTAAGCATTAACACTGGTTCTTACCAGTACATTAAAAATCATTACTAGAGAGTTCTTACAAATACAAAAAATAAGTTATGCGTCATTTTATATTTACTGCTAAGGTAACAATAGTGGACAATTCATTAGATTAACTTGTTATGGAAAACGTTTCTTTGAAATAAAAAAGAAAAAATTTATAAAATAAATTAAATTTATAGGCAAATGAAGGAGTAAGAACAAAGAAGAAACAAAGAAGCAGCATTTTAATTAAAATTCATCGCTTATAAACCAAGCCAAACATCCTTGGAAGCGCCAACACTCAAAACAGAAATAGAAATAAAGATCTAGTTATCTTGCATAATCCTCAAACCGAAATGTGGAATTCCCTGGATATAGTAAATTTAAACTTCCTAATCATTACAATAGAAGAAGCATAAGTGCTAAAAAAATCTAAATCCAACCATATAAAGGATACATTCTAACAGACAAATAACTAGGAGATGCATACAAGAAGCCAATGAGAATTTTCTCAGGTGTTTCAAGTAAGAAAAAAAAAGAATGAGATAAGCTTTGTAGATTACTACAGGGGCTAAAAAAAAATATTTCAAGCCCAAATTCTTAAGTATTATAGGCCAAAAAAAAAGAACAGTGCAAAGAGCAATTTTCTACCAAAATGTAACTCCTAGGGTGTGCTTGGAAACGCCATATTAACAGAATTTATGATAGGATTTAGTAAATCAAGTCAAACATAAAAAAATGCAAGTTAGTGGATTAATGAAATTTCAGATTTAAGTTCCAAACCTTACCTTCGATTCATGTTAAATCCAGATTTAAGAAATCCAACAAAGAGGTAGATTTAATAAATCCGGGTTTACTAAATCCTATTAACATTAAATCATGCCTGCAGCGAAACACCCCCCTAGAGTTTTACTTTTGCAATTGGATTTCAAGATACTGAAAAGAGGCAAAATTGTAGAAGAGGTACAAAACAATTACTAATGGAAGAAGAATGACTAATAGACTCTTAGCATGTTATCAGCAAGTAAAGAACCTAACAAGCATTTATAAGATGAAGGGATGACAGAAATGAAAGTGCTACCTCTTTTCGCTTCTCACGCTTCCTCCTGACCTCATGAAAGGTATCTGAGATTTAAAAAAAAATCATCATCAAAATTAGTTACAGAGTTATCACTAAGCTAATAGTGGAACTAAGTCCATGCTTCAAAAATATTTATACTATAGTGGCCGCCCAACTTAGACTGATTTTGTCATACACAGTTTTCACATTAAAAACAATTAAAATAAAGGAACTGATAAATAAACATAAACAAAGGTATTTATACTTTTGAAATAAATGATTATAGATGGGGTAAATGAATCACATAATTTTAAAAAACCTACTTAAAATCAACTCATACAAACCAGAATAGAAATAACTGGTGGCAAGAATGAAAACAGCAGCAACTAAGGTGAAGAAAATCCTGTATTGATGAAAATACCTCAACCAAAAAGCATTTTGCATCATGAGAAAAAGCAACACACATTGAAATCATCTATATATATATATATATATACATCTTTTTTTTTTTTTTTTTTTGGAAACCCAAAAAAGCTAATATATTAACTAGAAAGAAAGATACAGAAACAATGTGTTGGAAGGTCCAAACATGACCCCCTATCCACATCAAAACCAGAAGGGGTTCCAAAACTATAAAATACTGAAAATTACATTAGAGACATAAAGAAAAAGCCTAGAAATGCTAAATACATAGTATCAGGTGGCTAGAGAGCAACCCAATTTGGTTTTGTCTCTGTCTCTGGTTCTAGAAAAGGAGCAAGCTAATAAGTTGGTAAGATGATGGTTATTGTCAGTAGTAACCAATGTATCATCCAAAATATTCCTGAGCTGAAGTCGGCCTCCATTCTTCTTCTTCCTCCTGGAATAGACCTGTCATTCCTCTTCCGAAGATTGATTTCCGAAGATTGACTCACCTGATCTTGGTCTAATGTGTGTTGGAGATGTGCAGATTGTTGAACATTAGAAGCAACTACATGTTGTACCGGATGCTCAGTTATTGGATCAAAGGAGCACTCTTGTGTGTTTTGGCATGTAAGTGAGTCTTCTTCAATAACAGTGGGTGGTATGAGCACAACTGGATCTGTAGTTGTAGTATGTTGTTCTTCCTCAGAAACTGCGGTGTTGGGAAGAGGATCGGGTTGCATTTCTCAACAGGGATAATAAGTGGTTGTTCTTTACTGATATTCGGTTTTAGATGAGGATGCAAACGATAACAAATAGTAGAGCTGTGACCAAACATACTACAATAAGAGCAATAAGGAGGATGTGATTCCATTTCAACCTTTTGTCAATAACCGTTGCGAATAGTGTCAATCTATGTCTCATCCGGAGCTGGTGAATGATATCTCTTTCAACTAACACACAAGCCACAGAAGATCTAGTGACAGCAAGCGTAGGACTATCCACCTTGAAAGACTTATCGTAAGTAATTGCTAAAAAGTTGAGGATTTTCATGTTGAACAGATGTAATTTTAACCCCGGAAACTTTATCCAAACATGAATGATAGGGGACTCCGCTTTTGGATCAAAATCGACAGTCCACTTTTGAATTTTCATAAAACGATTGTCAATCTTTATAGCTTTTCGAGAGAAAATTCGAGTGTAATCAACATCATGAGATAGTTGAATAAACATATGTCTACCGTCAAGTAGGTCAATGTTCCAACTGCCCAATAGTTTCATAACATCAAACTCCTTCCTAATGATCTCAAGTTTTGGGTGACCATAAAAAAATTTCCCCACTAGAGAAAAGCGAAAAAACGCCAAGAGGATGCGAGAGTACCGATTTCAGCCTCTGTGAGAATAAGTGCAGGCTTCCCATTTTTTTTTCCAAGCTTTTTAATAAAAGAGTGATCACATCCACCTTCAAGAGCCTCGTGGAAAGATTCTGGAATATTGCAGGGCTTACCGATAGCAAAACCAGACGCTGAACCTGAAGGAGGGGAACTAGCAGGAAAGGGCAAGCCGCCGGCAAGAACATTTGCATAGGAACGGAGCATCGAGGTCATCTCTCTCACAAGATGGTCACGGTCAGGACATAAATAGTCTGGCGGGCCGCAAAGATGCGAACAGGATGCGAGAAGAAATCGTCTGCTTGGCAGGAACAGTCGCGTCCTTCTGCGAGACGTGAGAACAGGAACATTTGTCGGGCAGGCGAATGCGAGCAGAGAGGTGCGTCGTCGTTTAAGAGACAGCGTGTGAATAGTTCGTCGTCTTCGGGCGCCTGCAAGATGCGAGCAGAAAACGAAGCTCGACGAAACAACCGAAGACGGATTAGATTGGAGTGTGCAGCTCGACGAAACAGCCGAAGATGACGGAAGACGAAACGGAGGAGCGAACTCCTTCGAGCGTGAGATTACCGTGGCACAGGCTAAAGGGGGCCCTGAGGCAAAAACCCAACAAAAAAAGAAAGCAATATATATATATATATATATCTATATATATATTGGCAGGAAAAAATGAGGGCCACACCCAGCAAATAGCATTAACTTAGAAAAATTACAAACAATAAGTTGACATGTAAGAAAATGACATCACAATAAAATAAGATCCTCTAGAATAGAAAGGTGCATCCAAGAAGATGAAAAATAGTTAACTTAGTATAAGTTCTCATTCAGGAGATACAGAAAAAGAAATAGAAGCTCTCACAGACTACAATCAACAATAAAGTATATGAAAAGGAACTGTACAAGGCAGCAATACAAGCAGTAAAAAAAACGAATATGAGGATAGCCAAGAACTGCAAGACGCCCATATAAATTTTTTTCCAAAATCATGGCAGCAAAACAAAGGCAAGGGAACACATCCAAGGATTGTTTGAACTCAAGAGACAAAGTTAAAGCCGCCTGATTGAACCACATTTATAAATAAACTAATGGTCTCAACCTAGCACTCAAACAGATAAACTGCATGTACACCTTCACAAATAAGCAGCCAATTAAGCAAAAGAATCCATTCTTTCAGCATAAAAAGCAAGAGTAGAAACCAAACACAAAACAATGACAAATATAGAACCCAAAAGAAAATACAGTGAACAGAATGTTACATCCAATACTATGTGGAAGCAACCAAAATCCAAAGAACTGCAGGAGCATGTGGCAAAAAAGTCATCTAAACCAAGAAAACTTCTAAAATCTCCTCTTAATTTCAATCCTCTAGCTTGTAAGTCAAATATCCAGGTGGATCTTTTTCCACTTATGTTTCAATACAGGAGTTACCATTACTAAGATTTATGTAATTCCTTTCAACCAAAAGGTAATGAGCTGTTGTGTGAATAGCGAGCAGAAAGAAAATATTCGCAATATTGCAAAGAAGACAATCCACATGAGAAAGAATTCAACAAAAGAGTAGCCTATATGAAAGAAATTTCTAGCAAAATGCAATTTTTGAGTATAGCACGAAATGTTGAACAATAGAAGAATAAATAAGAGATGGATTCGTTGAGTTCATTGCAAATGATACAAATAAAATTAGCGGTAAAGCCTCAATAAGCAAAGGCATCTTTTGTTTTCAACCTACGTATAAGAATCTTTCAAGCAAGTATAGCATATTTTAAGAGCATAGTCTTTGAACCAAACAAATTCTTTCCAATTAAATTGTGGTTCAAGAGAATAAGACAAATCATTAATATGTAAAAGAAGCTTTTGCACAGCCAACTGTAATTATTGAAGGAGGAACCCCAAACATGAATGTTCAAAAATATGTTGAATGCAAGAGGCAAAGTCAAATATCAGAGGCAATAGGCAAAAGCCATGAACAGACACAATGAGTTCTTGAACTCTAGTATTAGGATCAAATCAGAATATCACATTATTCATAAAATTCTCGAAAAAGGACTCCCCATTAAGCCACAACTCATGAAAAAAAAAATACAAGTTGTATTTTTTACTAACTTTCAATGATATGCAACGTTGGACATTATTTGCCATAGCTCTTTCAAAAAAAAGAGTATGTGTAATTTGGCTTTAGCCCAAAGAAAATAGTAGGCATTAAAGCTCCAAGAAACAAGTAACGAATAGAAATTATATAGTCTACATATCAACTTAAATTTGCACAAAATATGAAAAGTTTCTAAAGAAGTTAGCCCCAAACCTCCATAATGAATAGGGATGGTAATATTTTGCCAAGAGAAAATATGAAGTTTAATCAGCTCCATTATTATGCAGAAGTTAATAATTAAGCTTGATATTTTCATCCTTAGATCTTTGAGAAGAGTGATAGACCAAAACCAATAATAATAATAACTCCAAATGCTACAGCTCACAAGTTGAAATCTACCTACAAATTAAAACAATTTTTGCTTTCACCCACTAAGCCTATTAAGAGTCTGTCCATAATCATGAATAGTTGCTTAATTTGAGCCTAGAAAAGCAATAGAAATGCCAAGATAGTCTCAAAGAAAGGAAATAGAACCAAAGCCAAAAATTTTACAATCAAGCTACTTGATTTATATATCATCTGCCCTAGAGAATCACATAGAAAATCTATCAATATATGTGAAGAGGGGCATAGAATTAAAGCAGTTTATATTATTACGATCGATTGTAACAGAAGACCAAAAAATCATCAACATAGATGAGATAAAGGATCATGGTATTAATATGATAAATTCCTTTAATTCAGAGCTAGCACAAAAAACATCCACGAGTCTGGAGAATGAGTCCAAAATAAATGTGAAGAGGGCTGGAGATCGAGAACAACCTTGCCACATAACAGAAGTGGTGAGACAATAACCTCGAAGCTCCCCATTTATCATAATCAAGACAAACGTTAAAAATGCAGTTCACAATCCAATTAATTAGTTTTCAATGAAATTATAAGTCTTCTAATTTATAATAAAGGAATTGACGAATTACATCGTCAAATGCTTTCTCGAGTTCAATTTTGGAGCAACAATGCTTGGTAGTATCAGAGGATTTCAGTCCATTAAGCAACTCATTAATAAAAATGATATTATCTGCAGTATCCCTTCAATGAATGTAAACATAATGATGAATTAACTTGAAGGCAAATGCTTGATTATATTAACAAGAAGATTAACAATAACCCTTCAAATAGAACTACATAGTGATATAGGCCTATAATAATTCAAGCTTGTAGTATGAAGACTTTTAGGAATCGAAATGATAGCAAAATGCTTAACACGACTTTGAATCTTACAAGAAGAGAAAAAATACTTGAGAGCATCAAAGAAAGCTAAGCCTGTGATATGCCAAATATCTTTAACAAAATTAAATATAAAACCATCATGCCCAGGAACCATATCATTCCCAATATAAAAAAGAGCCAACTAGATCTTTTCCTTAGCGAACTCAGCAATGAGATTATTACAACCATTTTTTAGAAAAAGTGTACAACTGAAAGGAATATTATAGGAAATGCAAACTGGTCTTTTATTATTATTAAGAAGAGTAGAAGCATGTAATATAGCTTCACAAACCATATACATGATTCTTAAATAGCATGATAGCTCTCTAATATGAATAAGATTTTCTTGATTGTTGATTTCATGATAAAAGAATTTAATATCATATTCCCCCTTAGAAAGCTAGGAACATTTGGTCCGTTGCTTTATCCATTAATTTTCACAAAATTTAGCCTAAATTAAAGATTTTCGAGTAACAAATGCTTTATAAAGAATCTCAAAATTGAGAGGCTCATTCTCCAAATAAACAAAAAACCTAGATTGTTCTTCCTTGAGAGAGGATATAGCATTAAATATGAAAAAGAAAGAAAGCCAACTAGTAGCTTTAAGAGATAATTTGACATTATATGCCTTATTGCAAAAGGAAAAAAAAGGATCCCCAAAAGGTATGGGCCAAGTTGAGACGATAATATCAAATAATTTATAACAATATCTCCAATAATTCTTATACATAAACCTTCGCTTGAGAGTGGAGGATGTCCTCGATTGGAAGAAAAAGAGTGATCGGAAGTGGCCCAAGTATTTTGAAAAAAAAAAATTGATGGAAACCATTGCATCTAAAGGTTGTTGCATCAGCTCTATAAAGCAAAAATCTAATGGGATTCTCAGAATGATGATTAAACCATCAAAATATAATCCACCATAAGGAAGCTTCAAAAAACTAAAGTTCAAAATATAAATGTTAAGGTCAACTAATTTGCGCAGTAAAGGAAGAGTAACACTAATTCTCTCATCCACAGAGCTAATGCAATTAACTCCTATAATCAACCAGGCTCAATAACTGAGGAAGCAATATCCCAAATGGCTTGCCAAAGAATTTTTCCTTTCAATAGATTGATTTTAAGCATATGCAAGGGTAACCAGCACTTTAATAAAAGAAAAAGACTAATCATGCATCAATAAAATGTGAGCGAGGGACTTATCACAATAAACTCTAGGCATTTCACTTAAACCAAATGTGACCATTAGAAGAAAAATGAAGATTATCACAGTTGCCTTCATGTAGCAAAATTTGAAGTTGTTTGGCCAAGAAGTTATCAGATGTAGCAGCATAAGATAGCTTGATATCAATAACACATAAGATACCAATTTTGTGATTTTTCACTAGATTCTTACAATCGCGGATCCTAAGATCACCCACAAAAACCCCTAACATTCGAAGTGCAAATATTATGAAACATAAATTACTATGGAGAGTTGGGATTAGTCCCATTGGTCGACATTTCTTATTTTTGATGTGTACAGTAAGGCAATCTAAGCCATCTGAGATACATTAGATATTGTAAAGGATGTGGTAGCAGTTAAAGCAACTAGGGAATTAATTTTAACCAACAAAAAGGTTGTAACAGTAGTATTAGACAAGAAACTAGGAAGACGAATCCAGATCCACAGCAAGGTTGGAGGCAATAATGTGAGTGGTGGATAGTTCTTAGTCCTTGCTTCCATCCATCCCAGAAGAAGGAGAAGATGATTCATTGTTATTTTTAGCCGATGAGATGGGAATGTTGAGATTAGAGGGAGCATCAAAGGGGAGAGAGCAAAAGGAGAGGAGAAAGAAACCATATTTAGACATCTATTATCTCTAGAGGAGTTATCTTTGATTTTTCATCTACTTTTATCCCTTTGAATATTGTTAGAAGTAGGATGTTGAATACTTAGCCCTTTGAGGTAATTACATGCCTCATGAGCAAATGCATCACAAACAATACGAGGTGATGGCTTCTATTCATAAACAATAGGTAGAAAATTGCCATTGCCCTTGAAATTGAGAATAATATGTTCTAGAAGAGTCAAAATAGTCAGAATCTACACACTAACCTTGAAAAAAGTTAACATCAACCTTCTGGCAGTAAGAGAACCCACAACAAACCACTTAGGGCAACAAGAGAAAGACAGTTTAGACAGTTTAATCCAGATTGATACATCCATAAAATCTTCCTTGACAGAAACAATGTCCTAAGTTCATTTTTTAAAAATGAAGAAGTTTCTAATTGATGAATGATGACCCTCCTTTTTTAACAATTTCTAAATATTTAGGACAAGTAAATTGAAATAGAAAATCAGCAGCAAGTGAGAGAAATTTGAAAGTACTTCTTAACTTCCATGGTTTGCTAATAGCTTGAAATAGATTTTCATAGAATAGGCCACAATCCAATGGCATAGAAAACAAAGGTAAGGTTCCAATATTCCGCGACTTCATCAACCTCCTCAACTAAATAGGTAACTTTATCATCTTGAAAATGGATATAATCACAGAAAAACTATAGGAATTAGGGACATTAGCGTTTAACAACCAGTCCAATTCTCCGTGGGAATAGAAAACTAGCAGTTGGTCCCATAACCAAAAGCAATAGAAAGATACGAAGGCAAAGAGGAGAAAATTAACTGCAAGATATCTATGGGCAATGAAGAAGAAAGAGATCATCGAAGTAAAATAACCCCAACTATCGCTTTCCATTCCTTGTCCTCTCTAACAACAGACCATCGAGGGCTTAAAAGAGGAAAAATCAAACCAAAATAGAGCAGCACACTTGCAAGGAAATCTTCATCACCGCTACTTCCCTAGGATCACCAAGGGTTTTCATTTCCGTCTTTGTCACCTTGGGCTTCCACCACCATATCCACGAGTCAGAGATGGTCCCTCTTAAGAGTTGTCAGGCAACAAGTGTGACTCAAGTCAAGTAGGATTTATTATATCCTATAATTTCAGATTTGATAAACCCTGAGAAGTTTGAATCTCGAAAATTGTTTGCTCTAACAAATGTTAAATCCAATTAAATTATATGAAACAATTTGACAACTTATTATAGGATTTAATTATGCTAGTTGAAATATGAATTTAATATTACATATTAATGATGTAACTATTAAGTCTAATTAAATTTAATTAAAATTTTTATTTTAATTATGTTAATAACTAATTAATCATTAACAAGAACTTATTAAACCAATTATTATTGATATGATAGCCATTAAATAATCATTAACCAGTCCTTTATTAGACTAATTACTAATTAATTATAATTTCATAATTTAAGTAAATCTTAATATGTAATTTAATTTTTTAAAATCAATTATAAAGTAGTCATACATAAGGTCATATAATTATAATTAGTTCGATAATATATTTAATTATTTATTGATTATTAATTATTAAAAAATTAAATTAAATTAACTAAATAAAATTATATTGAATCCTAAAACCTATCTTCTCCTTCCCCCTCTCCTGCCCGCAATCCTCGCCCATCTCACTTCCCCATATCCCAATTTTGCCTCAAACCATTGTCGTACTTCCCCTTCCTCCCCCCATGCCTGAAACCCTCATGATACAGTCGGACTACAGCTAGTATGGAAAGCAAAACGACAGGATCGCGACGCACAAAGATCTCTGAAAGTCCTGAATAACTCCCCTTTCTACTCCATTCCTACTCGACTAACCCTCATATTTTCCTTTCGTCATCCCATCACGCTTCGCAAGCTTCAGCTCCTCTAAATCACACAAATCCACCTTCCTAAGGGATTTGCTAAATCTAGAATTTAATGCAGAACAACGAAGAAACCAGAATTAAAAGCCTTTGGGATTTAAAGTTGTCATTTTTACTGTTTGGCAGGATTTAGGTTAAATCCTGCTCATATTCTGCTACCAAACAGCCCCTGAATGTTGAATATGTATTCTGATTAAATAAAATTAGGCTATCATATGGAGAGATATTTGACGGTTTATTTGTAACAGCTTGTCCACCATAAGACTTCCTCAGCCTATCGGCATAATTCAACCAATTTAAACCGTGCTATGAAACGCCACAAAATCTTTATTTTGTACAAAATGGGCGGAACCATCAGATACATCTATAACACATAGAGGATAACCAACAATAATGATTGCATGAAAGAGTTAACTGAAGTTTAAAAATAGTTTAAAAAAGAACGACGGACAAACCTCATAGAACAAACTTTAACGTACTAGAGCCACAAATCCACAATATCCGAGTCGTTAACAAAATTCAAAAAACAGGTACTACAAACAAAGTGTAATAACTGCAAGCAGATCCACATGTTCCACGAGAAACAGGAAGAAATAACAGTCATTCAGAATAAATAAATAAAACGTAGATCCAAATCCAGACAAAAAGAAAGAACTTAATTTCGAGTCTACTCAGGAAATCTCTCGTTCACAAAAGAAAAAGCCATATTCCAAACGTAGCTAATAAGTAAACAATTCTTAGCGCGATCAAAGGGGACGGAACGCCGACAAAAGCAGAGTACTCTAATATAAAAGAAAAGTAGCAAAACAGAACCCTCGATAAGAGTGGTTGCTGAGACCTTGGAAGAGAAGCTTCTGGGCCGTCTCGTTGGGATCCATAGAGCACTCCTTGAGCATTGAGTATATCTCCTCATCGCCATGGTTGCCCGCGATCTCCTTAATGTTCTGGATCATATTCTTCACGCCATGGGGGATTGAAACCCTAGAAACAGCACTCATCTTCTCGCAGATAGAATATGCCGACGGGGGTCAGTGCCGCAGCAGAGTAGAGGGAAGGGCTGTCGGAGCAATTACAGTCGAAAAAATAGAAATCTTCGGGTTTTTAAGCGTTTTATGTTTCTGGCCTGCCCGTGCGTGGCATTGCTCGGTAGCGCGCGTGCGAGATTCAAGGAGAGCCATGACCCTGCATATTTTGCCTTTTATAAACAAAAACTCGGTCAGATATCCTAATATAGAAAACAAATAACTCTGTATAAATGTTATATATTAAGGAAATTAATATTTTTTTAATATTTCCTATTTCGTATCATGCAATACTATTAATATAAATAAATTATGTCATATTTATGTTATAAAATAATTAAAGTTAAAACCTAAATCAAATTAAATTATTAGATAATATAATTAAATTAATATGTATTTAAAGATATAATCACAAGAGAAATTGCGAAATTAATTTTTTAAATATTTTTTAATGGCCATGGGATTACATGTAACATATCAAAGAATTTTTTTTAGAAGATAAATATAGCTAAATCACATAGACATTTATAAGCATAAATAAGAAATGATAAAAAAGAACAAAAAGATCAATCAGATAATAGCAAAACATATCACTGATGCCATGGATATGTACCATAAAATCCATCAAGATATTTTATTAGGATAACAAAATTATATTAATTATAGCATTTAGAAAAAGATGACAAATGAATGATTGAATCTGAATATGACTACAAATTTGGTTTTGTACTTGGAGAAATGATTTGTATCATAATTATGATGGCAAGATCCACTGGATGCACTTCCATGATTTTATTAGCACAAAGGAATTTACATACTATCTCATTTATTTTAAGTGCTTTTTTGTCTTGGCTTTGTATGCTTAAAATTAATGATTCGCTAAAAAATTTATAATCATCCAAGAAAATAAGAGTGTCAAATACATGTTAAAATAGAAAAACTTTATATAAATAAAAAACTTATTACATATTTATCCCTCAATAAACACAGAGCTACAAATGTATTTGTACAAGTTTATCAATAGGGAAGAATGGTGCGAACTTTATATAAAATGGTGGCTTTTAAGTGATGGAAATTTATATATTAGAAAAAAGTAATGTCTTTTATCTTACAATAAATGTAGAAATTTTTCTGCAAATAATTAGATTTGATAGAGCCTTAGTGCCATTATTTGGTTGATTATCAGTGAAAGATGAGATATAAGTAATTGTAAGGGGGATCAATTAGTCATCAATGCACAAAAGTATATGACTATCAAGTAAGTTGGGGCATTCCAATTGTGACTTATTAAGCCCATAAAGTTTATTCCAAGTAAAGAGAGTGCCAAACCAACAAATTTTTCTGCTAGACTAAAATCTAATAAAGTGACCTATCGTAAGTGAAAATCTTTGAGTTCTTAAAAGCCCTCTTTCTAAGCTTCCACCAAACAATCAACCCTTAAGGCAATATAATGAAAGAAGTAGAAAACTTACATATACATGAAATCATTAAGTGTAGGTTTTTCTATAATATTAGTAACTCAAAAGTTCATACTACAACTCTTTTAGAATTTCAGTAAAAATCCACCCATGTTTCATAATCTTCACCAAATAAAAACCTAAAAAAGGATGAAAATTCTTAGAGGAAATTCTTCCCTTAAAAATAATAGATTTCTTCGTAACCTTAATCTAAGCCCCCTTAAAGTTTAAGAAAATCTAAATAATTGGGTTGTGCACAATGAAAGTGATTTCAACCTACTTCTAACTAACTTTAAACTATAACTATATATATATATATATATATATTAATCATTTTATTTTTTGTGAAAGGAGCAGTTCATGGCTCCCTACATGTTAACACAAAAGGTGAGAGCCCAACAAAAACAGAAAGAGAGGATCCCACCTAACATAAACCTATGGGTTCCACTTCAGAGAGCAGTTAAAATCCACAAAACACAGAAAATCAAGTGGGAGAGGAATACTGAAACATGAGAGCCATCTGGGAGAAACAGACATCCAGAAGCTCCTGGGAGAAGGGGTGATCAATGGTTTCTGGAAGTAGTGCAAGCAGCAATTCTGAAGTGTGGTACATCAAGAGTATCTCCATTAAGCAAAAAGGATAGAGGAGGTGGGGGAGTAACTGCAACAGAAATAGATTTGGAATGGAGCCCATATCTAGCAAGCCAATTTGTTGGTTAATTTCATTCCCTGTAATTGAAAGTGAAGTGGACATTAAGAAGAGAATTAAAATGTTTGATCTTCTGGATCCATTGGGTGTGAAACCATATAAAGTGTTCCTCAGAGTCCAGCAGTCTAAGCAGCAAAGTGGAATCCACCTCAACCCAAATATTTAGCCAATTAGATTTAGAAGCAAGGGTAAAAGCCTAGAAGACTGCAATAAATTCTGCCTCAAGTGCAAGGGCCAGAACTAGAGTATGAAAGAAAATAAGGCACAGACTAGAATGGTTTCAAACCCCACCCCCCACCCCAGCACCCATATCATTAAAGCTACCATCAGTGTTAATTTTAACAGTATTAGGCTATGGGGGTTTCCAATATACTCTGCAGATCAAGGGAGAGGCCACTTTATCAGTAAGAGGGGAGGTACATATATTAAGGAAGTGTTTATACTGCTCATCATTTTGGAGAGGTAAGATACACAGTTTCTGACCACCTAGACAATCTGTGGAGGTTTGCCATCAAATTTGGCATAGTTCCTGGACATCCAGAGGAACCAAGCCACCAAAAATGGAATAGATTCATACTATTTATTTTTCCAACTACGCCAACAAGTATATAACTGTGACCAGTGAAAAACCGAGTCATCCAATGTTAGCTATTTTAGAAACTCAGTCCAGACATCCTGAGCAAACTTACATTTAAAGAAGGGGTGGGGGATGTTTTCCTCGTGCTCCAAACACAGCCAGCATCTAGAAGGGCCCCTCAAACCATTTAACTTGAGGATTTCATCGATGAGCAATAAATTATGGAAGAATCTCCAGCAGAAGAAAGACATTGAAGGGGAGAAAAATTTATTCCAAATGGCCTCCCCCTAAGGCACTTGATCCCAGCTGAAAAGTTTTGAGTAATTAGCTTTGGTGAAACTTTGGTTGGTATAAGCTTGTCAAATGATTCTATCAGGTCTGTTTTATCAAAATGGACCTTTGATATAGAGGTGACATAAGGTTCCTATAAAATAGTCTGTAGATTAGTAATGGACCACTTATTTCCCTTCGAGAACTCAGCAACTTTAAGATGAGGATTGAAATGAGTAGTAGTAGAATTTAACCACTCCTTAGGACACCAATGGTCTATCCACAAATTCACTTCTCCATTTCTCAAGTCCCATATAAATAACTCTTCTGCAAGATGCCTGACATTGAGCATGCTGATTTAAATTTTGGAATCCCCCAGTTTGTTGACAGTTAGAGAGGGGTGTTGATCTCTGCAATACTTGCCCATCATGAATTTAGCCCACAGAGAGGATTGGGCTTTGAATTTAATCCATATTTTACATAGGTTGATTTGAATAAGTTGATGAAGCCCTTTAAACCCAATCCCCCCAGCCAAAGTAGGTTTAGATACCTTCTGCCATGAAGCTCAGTGGAGTTGATGTCTTTGACCAGACCACAAAAACCTATTAAAAGCCCTCTCCGGTTGTAATTGGGTGCTTTTCTTCATATTGGTCACTTGAAGTATATATGAAGGGAAGGTAGTGAGAATGTTTTTGAGCAAAGTGATTCTTCCACCATTAGATTGGAAGGAATAGGACCAACCTGAGAGGTAAGAGGTGATTTTATGAAGCACTTCATCAAATTTGATCTACTTGGATTTGCCACTTATGAGGAGTACACCAAGGTATTTGATTGGGAGATGAGAAATTAAAAACCCAGTATAATTTGAGATCCACTGTTTACAGCTGGTGGAAGTTCTCTTATTAAATACAAGTTGACACTTATCTGGATTAAAAGTCATCCCATAATGAGATTGGAATACTTGTAGACAGTGGTATACTTTTTTAACAACATTCTTATAGGCACTGGAGAACACCATGATATCATCAACATATAGCAAATGTGAAATAGCCATGTTTGATTTGTGATGGTTCCTAGAATAGCTCTGGGATAAAAGGGACTGATCTAGCATTCTAAACAAATAATCAATGGCAAGAATAAAGATAGTAGGAGAGAGTGGGTCTCCTTGCTTCAACCCTCTAGTATCAGAAAAAGATCTCATGGCTTGCCCATTTATAAGAATATAGTGTCTATTATTGATAAGCCATATGCGGATGAGGGTACAAAAAGCAAGCTGAAACCCTCTGATAGAAAGGATATCCAAGCTGAAACCCTCCCAATTTATAAATCAGGTTTCCACAATAGTGCTTATCCAAATCCAACAGCATCTCCTGTGCAAGCAAGACTTTGCCAGTGATGGATCTTTCCTTAATAAAAGCAGTTTGGTTGAGACTAATCATCTTATCAAGGTGAGGTTGGAGTCTGCTCACAATAATCTTGCTTATAAGTTTACTGATGACTGAGGTGAGATAAATAGGCCTGTAGTGTTCCCAGTTCTTCTGCATATCAGATTTAGGCACCAAAACAAAATTAGATTCACTGAAATAGTTGGGGAGGTTGTTGCCTTGAAAAAAACTGTTGATAGCAGCAATAACATCCATTTTAATAATTTGCCAAGATTTCTTGTAAAAATCTGTACTAAATCCATCAGGCCCTGTAGTTTTAGAACTATCAATGGAATTCAAAGCCATCCAGATTTCCTTCTCGGTGGGGGGTTAGTGAGTGCTATGTTTCTAGTAAAGGCATACTCAACAGTAAAATAAGTGTCATCCATAGGGGTCCTGTTGTCAGGCAATTGGTTCAAAAGCTGGCTATAGTAGCTGACTGCATTCTTGGCAATGGTATCATTATCATGTAGCCAACTTCCCTCAGTAGTCTGTATAGAGTGGATAGTGTTGCATTTCCTCCAGTATTTAATGTAGGCATGGTAAAATTTAGTATTCCTATCCTCATCAGTAAATATATTTATGGAAGCTTTCTATTTAAGGAGTTGTTCTTGATTTTCAATAGCAGTAAGGAGGTTATTATGTGCAGTAAGAAGAGTATTTTCCTCTGCAGTACCATTTTGAACTACTTTTTCTAATCTCTCCACCTCTTGCTCTGC